ACCAACTAAGTACGGTACCAGCTAAGCCGTGTATATACGTGTGAACGCAGCTTATATATTAGTTATTATTTTACTATTTTATTTCACAATGATCTAACATCTATTGTCGAACGTCCTTAGCCGTATCTCGCAACCTTGGTCAGCTTTAATTGCCTCTAGCATCACTTAGCGTATGCAATGTGATGCGTCTGTGTGTGCCGACATGTATATGGGTGTACACTGTACAGATTCAGCTAAAACGACAAAACAGACGAAAATGCGCTGCTAATGCACGACATATGGCGCCTTCGTTTATTATCCTGTGTAACAAACTGAATAAGGGTTTGATTTGATAAGGGTTTTTGTGAGAATGAGAGAGAGGGAGAGAGATTGAGGAAAGAGAGTGTGCGTGCGTGCGTGCGTGCGTGCGTGCGTGAGTGAGTGTTTCCGTGCGTGTCTGTGCTTGCGTAATGCGTGAGTGCGTGTGCGTGTGCGTGAGTGCGTGTGCGTGTGCGTGTGCGTGAGTGCGTGTGCGTGAGTGTGTGTGCGTGCGTGAGTGCGTGTGCGTGAGTGCGTGTGCGTGAGTGCGTGTGCGTGAGTGCGTGTGCGTGAGTGCGTGTGCGTGAGTGAGTGCGTGTGATTGAGTGAGTGCGTGTGCGTAAGTTCGCGTATATGAGTGCGTGTGCGTGCGTGCGTGAGTGCGTGCGTGAGTTCGTGTGCGTAAGTTCGCGTACATGAGTGTGTGTGCGTGCGTGCGTGAGTGCGTGTGCGTAAGTTCGTGTGCGTGAGTGCGTGTGCGTGCGTGCGTGAGTGCGTGCGTGGGTGCGTGTGCGTAAGTTCGCGTACATGAGTGCGTGTGCGTGCGTGCGTGAGTGCGTGTGCGTAAGTTCGTGTGCGTGAGTGCGTATGCGTGAGTGCGTGTGCGTGTGCGTGAGTGCGTGCGCGTGAGTGTGTGTGTGCGCGCCTGCGTAATCGTAAGCTCGCGTGCATGAGTGCGTGTGCATGCGTGCGTGCGTGTGTGTGCATGCGTGCGAGAGTGCGTGCGTGAGTGCGTGTGCGTAAGTTCGTGTGCATGAGTGTGTACGTGTGTGCGTGCGTGAGTGCGTGCGTGAGTGCGTGTGCGTAAGTTCGTGTGCATGAGTGTGTACGTGAGTGCGTGCGTGCGTGTTTGGGTGCGTGCGTGCGTGGGTGGGTGTGTGTGCGTGCGTGGGTGGGTGTGTGTGCGTGCGTGGAATTATACACACTGTTTGTTGCGCAACCATCAATCATTCATTAAGAGATATGCCATTATCCCGGCGAGTAGAAATTACGCAGAGAGGCCGGTAAAAGCGCGTGATGTGAAAGAATCCATTGTCACACGCTTGAAGCGCCAAACTTAAACTCTCCTTCTTCATCCTTCTCCTCTTCCTCTTCGCCCCCTCCTCCTCTTCTTCCTCTCCCTCTTTCCCTCGTTCTTCGCCTCTTTAAGATCATACTCCCCCCTACTCTTCTCCCTCGTCTTCTTTCAACTTCTCCTTCCTCCTTCTCCTCCTCGTCCTTTCTCCTCTTCCCTCCTACCCCTCTCCTTCTCCTCTTCCACCTCATTTTCCTCTTCGCCTTCTTCCTTTTCCCCCTCGTTCACCTCCTGCTTCTCCTCTTCTCCCTCCCCCTCCGCTTCCTTTACCTTCTTCCTTTTTGCTCTCCCACACAAAACTTCATTTACCCCTCCCCCCCTCATATCCCTCTTCTTCCGATGTTGCTTCTACTATTTCTTCTTATTCTCATCATCATCATCATCATCATCATCATCATCATCATGAAAGAAAAAGAGAAAAAACAAGGTCGGGCTCCGCCTGCTTCTCCGGCTTCGCGGCGTCCGCCTCGCTGTCGCGGCAGCGCGGTGCAGGAGTCGGTCGGCTCGCACGACGCAGGTCGCGAGCCTCATCTCCGCCGCGATCGTAGCCGTTGTGCTCGTCGCGCGTGCGCGGCCTGCTCTCGCGACGCTGCCGAACGCCGTGCTGTCGGCGATCACGTCGTCGCGCTGCGCGGCATGTTCCGGCAGTACGGCGACCTCGCGCGGCTGTGCGGCAGCGCGACGTCGCCACCGTCGACCGCTGCTCATCTGGCTCGTCACGTGGACGGCGACGGCGGTGTTCCTTCGACGTCGCATCGGGCTGTTCGTCGGCGTCGGTTTCGCGGGCTGGTGACGATCGTGGCGCGCTCGCGCAGCCCGCGCGTCGCCGCGCTCGGCCGCGTGCGGCGGCACCGACCTGTACGCAGCGCGGTCGGCAAGCGCGGGCGGCGGCCCGCGAGGTCACCGGGGTGCGCGTCGTGCGCCCGAGGCGCCCCGCTGTACTTTGCGAACGCGGAGTTTGCGCGCGAGGAGGTGTACGCGCGCGCGGGCGTCGACGTGCCGGTCGCCGTGAAGCGAGCGCGCGATCGCGCCGCGAAGAAGCTGCGCGGGGGCGCCACCTCTGCCGGAAGATCGCACAGCGTGCTTGAACGGGGGGAGGCTGGCGACACAAAGTCGGCCGCGGACATGGGTGTGATCAACTCCTGCATGGAGCTGGATGCATTACAGGTGAGGACTGCAATGGAGTAGGTGTACGCGTTAGAGTTGTGTGAAAAGATAGGGCGAGAGGAGCGGTGTGGAAACATTCAAATGCTGAGTGAAATAACCCGTGACCAAATGGTATATAATATACAAAATATATGTGTGTGTGTGCGTGTGTGTGTGTGCGTGCATGTGTGCTTGCATGTGTGTATATGTGTGTGTGCGCGTGCGTGCGTGCGTGCGTGCGTGCGTGTGTGTAGATAGATATAGACATACACACGGACATCACACGCTACCTCCCGCTTACACCACTGATTCTGCTTGCAGTTGGAGAGTGCTAGCAGCGAGGGATCCGTGGACATCCTGGCCGGGAGGAGACGGAGAACGGGGAGGACGTGCGGTCATCGTCATCGACTGCTCGATGTCGGTCTACGTCGACTTGTCCGGCGGCAAACCTGGCTCAAGCTGCTTCATCGGCGAGTACGCAGACGTCGGTATCACAGCTGCTGGCTGCGTGTGGCGCCGGACGTGCGCGCTGTGCTCGCCGCGCCGGCTTCCACGACGCAGCGCCACACGGCGCCCTCTACCGCGACCGTCAACAGACGCGCGTGCTCGCTGGCCAGCGCCTGCCATTGCCGCGCAACACGTCCCGGTGTACGTCACCGACTACTTATAGGGTGGCGCTGCAATGCAACTGCAAGCAGTCACATGTTGTTGACTATTTATAGGTGGCGCTACTGCGCAATGGCAAGCAGTCGTATGTTTGACTATTTTTATAGTGGCGCCGCCGTGAATGTGCGACTAGTCGTATGTTGTTAACTACTCATAGGTGGCGCTACCAGCGCAATTGCAACCAGTCGTATGTTGTTAACTATTAATAGGTGCAGTACCACGCAATTCCAACCAGTCGTATGTTGTTAACTACTCATAGCGGCGCTACCCGGCGCAATTGCAACCAGTCGTATGTTGTTGATTACTTATAGGTGGCGCTACCCCCCACACGCGCAACGCAGTCGTATGTTGTTAACTACTTATAGGTGGCGCTGCTGTGCAACTTCATCCAGTCGTATGTTGTTGATTACTATAGTGGGCACTGCTGCGCAACTGCAACCAGTCGTATGTTGTTGAATTACTTATAGGTGCAGGCCTGCCTGCGCAACTGCATCCAGTCGTATGTTGTTGATTACTTATAGGTGGCGCTGGCTGCGCAACTGCAACCAGTCAGTATGTTGTTGATTACTTATAGGTGGCGCTGCTGTGCAACTGGCAACCAGTCGTAATGTTGTTAACTACTCATAGGTGGCGGCTACCGCGCAAATTGCAAACAGTCGTATGTTGTTAACCTATCTGTAGGGTGCGCCAGTGCCCCACTTCTTCGTCGGCATGACCTAACTTATAGGTGGCACTGTCGTGCCTTCTGATTGACGGTGGGGTGGCGGCACGGGAGCAGGCAGTGAGCTTCCCGCCGTTCTAACACTGCCGTCCACGGCACGGTCACCGTACGCCGCGCTTTCACGTCGTGACAGCGCTACAATATACGTCGTGGGGGGGGGGCTTAACTGCCAATGAGTCATTGTCCATCCAGTAACGATGGCGTCGGCAGCTGGGCAGCTAGATTTATATTTATGATGTGGTGAGCGCCAGCTAGATGTGTGTTGCGTGTGCCTTAGGGTTAACGTGATGGTGTCTAGAACGAATGAGGTCACTGCTACAGGTGAACAATATTTAACCTGTCGTTTAAGTTGGGTTACCACGCACGCACGCACGCACACGCAATTAAACCACTAGCCTTTGCAGTGATTTGGAAGATGTGTAATATGTTGATAGGCATCGCCTCTTAGCCAAGTGTCGAAGGTGTGAGTAGGTATGAGGCTCGGGGAAATGTAGAGGCTTCGTAGTCCTGAAGTAGGTTTTTGCTGTGCGATTTTGTGATGTAGTTGTAATGTGTAAACGCTCAGTAGTTGATCAGTGATTAGACCGTGTCAAAATGTAGCTTAGTAATTATTATAGTACTAGCTGATCAGTTTTGTTGAGAGCCGTAAGGAGGGTGCTGAGCATGTCTTTCATTACACATATTTTGAACTTGGCCATTTAGATGAGAAAGGATGATGTGATTGTTATTTACTCGCAATTTTGTTGGCTAAGTATTTTTTTTAATATTTGCTTGCCTGCGTCTACGCGTGTGTGTGCATGAGTGGCATGCGTGCGTGCATGCGTATGTGCCGTGCGTCGCGTGTGCATGGCGGGAGTGTGCGCGCGCGCGCTGTGGTGCACTGCATGACTGCAGTTTGTTGGTTTAAATCTGCTTTTTTAGCTCATCTGACGAAGTCGGATGCAGCTTGTAGAATCGCATGATTGTCCGTGTGTGCGTCCGTGCGTCCGTGCGTCCGTCAACAGTTGGGCAGCAAATCTAAAACGGCTCGACGTACGGATTCGAAAGTCGGGACGTGGGTGGGTAATCCGAAAACGAGTTGGGATGTCGAAGCTGGGGGTCAAAGGTCAAGTCAGGAGAGGTGTAAAAGAAGGGGGAACATTCCCTCCTTAACTTAAGGTATAGGGAGGAAATGCAGAATTGCGGCACAAAATCTAAACAGCTCGACCTAGCTGCGTGATAGTCGGTGTATAGGCATCATGGTAGGAAAAGCCATCACTGTGCCCGAAATTGGAGGTCACAGGTCTCAAGAGTCATATGGGGCACCAGGCAGAATTTTAGAGACATTTTCTAAGGACATGGTCTGACAGAGCGATTGAAAAACTTTTTTGTTTCAGCGCTGACTTACCATTTTTATGCTTTATTGAAAGGACCATGAAATGTGCTTTCCACTGAACGCTGCGAAGAGTAAGTGTCTGATAACCTTTTGACCCTCGAGGAGGGGGGTTT